AAAAAAAAAAACAAAGCAAAAAAATGTAGATACGTTTTGTCTTTCATCCAAAAGACTTCCTCAGTCTGACGTGTTGTATTCAGCGCAGTCTCTTAAATAGCACCTTCTCAGAGTGGATCAACCAGTTTGCTGCTGACAACCAAAACCAGCTGTTCACATGATCAAGTAGGACCATCAGCCTAACAATGGATCATTAGCACCCTGGTGGCTGTTTACTATTCACAGGGGGTTGAGTGATACTAGCAATCACAGCATTTTAAGAGGGGGACAGTTGAACCCGGAGGCCTCCACCCATTTAATGTTGGACGATTTCTTTTCACAAAGATGGCCTCCTTTACTCCTCTCTCAAACCATCGTTCCTCTCTGTCCAGGATGTGAACATCTTCATCCCTGAAAGAGTGACCGCTGGCCTGGAGATGAGTGTAGACTGCAGAGTCCTGGCCTGATGATGTCACTCTTCTGTGCTGGTCCATCCTTTTGGCCAGTGTGCTGTATGATTCGTTAAACCGCATCAAAGCTCGAGACTGGCACGGCCCGGGTTCCGGGTTAGAAATGACAGCTCTAGCTTGTACCACTATTCCTACTTCACGGTTTTTCACTTATCGTGGGGCTTCAGGGTACGGATACCCTGCCATAAACGAGGGACTACTGTACCTGAATGAATACTTGCTGAACACGTCTCGTCTCCACCACAGGTCAGCTCTTCTAGATCAGCAGCCTACACAACAATAAAGACAATGTTTGCATGTCAGACATCCTCACGTTTCAACAATAACCTGCCGGTATGTTTCTAATAAAAAATAAAATAAAAACATTTATATACTAGTGTTGGGCACGTTAACGCGTTATCGCATTAACGCAGCAAATGACTAACGTTGACAATTGTTTTTATCACGTTAACGCTGTTATTTTTTTCTTATTTTCCAAGTCCGTTGCTCACACACACACACACACACACACACACACACACACACACACACACACACACACACACACACACACACACACACACACACACACACACACACACACACACACACAGACAGACACAAACCAATGCAGTGGTCACAGGGGTGGCGAGATGTTGATCAATACTGGCTATAAATGATATGAATAGCTACGTTTACATGCGCAAAATTCTTTGACCGGACTGAAATTTTTGTTGATTTGCTTTGTTTTGTTTTTTTGAATGTCCAGAGGACCAGATTTAACTTTTTTAGATTTTTCTACCTGGATTATTGAGCAAGCATCAGGAAATACTCTCAGTTATCTCGGTGACATGGCATTAATTTAACTCGAAAAAGAAAGAACCCGTTATATTTAAATAATTAATTAGTAGTGAAGGTACAGTGAAGCTGTCGCTTGACATACTACATTAAGTGGCCCGTACGTGTTTTAAATGACATAAATACTGGCCCGTGTGTCCACAGTTAAGCTGTACCCCCACATTTTACTACAGGTGAAAGATCCGGACTGCAGGCTGGCCATTTCAGTACCCGGATCCTTCTCCTACGTAGCCATGATGTGATTGCTGCAGAATGTGGTCTGGCATTATAGTGTTGAAAAACGCAGGGTCTTCCAGCTGTTCGTTATATGCTCAATTTCCTTTTTCCAGCCACTTATTGCTACTTGTCCCAACTTTTTTGGGATTTGTTGACACTGTGAAATTTTGAATCAACGTATTTTTCCTTTAAAATGTTACATTTACTCAGATTAAACTTTTGATCCGTCATCTATGTTATATTACAAATAAAATATTGACATTTGCCATCTCCACATCATTGCATTCAGTTTTTATTCACAATTTGTTTAGTGTCCCAACTTTTTTGGAATCCGGTTTGTATAAAGTTTAACAATAATAAACAGTATTTGTTAGTGTGAGAGATATAATGAAGCTATCTGGACATTATTTAATTCAAGTTATGTGATTTAAACGATATACCAAACATATTGCATGTTAATTTTTATTTATTTATTCAACACCACAAACTGTATGTCACACAAACACTGATAATTAAACTGAACACTATTAAAAACATATTAACCGAACTGTAAACTGAGCTGGACCCTTCCTCTCTGTTGTCATCCTGGATACTGACGCCATGTTGTTTATCTGACTTGTACAGGCTGTCAATCGTTTGCCTAATGTAGATTAGAACATTGAATGGATTGGAACAAAGAACTGAGGGTAATTTTAAGTGAATAGTTGTTCCAACATTCTTCAACATCCTCCTTCACCACTGAGTCGGTGGTCTCTTTCAAAACCGGTCCCTCTGGTGGGATGATAGCTTCTCCTCGCAGGAAAAATTAAAATTAAAAACTCAATTGATTTCCTGATGCATGCTCAATAATCCAGGTAGAAAAATCCAAAAAAGTTCAATCTGGTCCTCTGGACATTAAAAAAAACAAAAAAAAACAAAAGAAAGCAAAAAATCTAGAAACGTTTCGTCTCTCATCCGAGAGACTTCCTCAGTCTGAGGTACTGTTTTCAGCTCAGTCTCTTAAATAGCACCTTCTCAGAGTGGATCAACCAGTTTGCTGCTGACAACCAATCCGCAACAACAAAATGAAAGAGGGTGAAGCAGAACAGCTCAGAATCAAAGTTTCATCCTGCCTCAGCAATGCCAAACCACCACCTTCCAACATCAGTAGAGAGGAGAGGGATGCACTCACCACTCTTAGCAAGGACAAAAACATCATCATTCTCCCAGCAGACAAAGGAAGGTGCACAGTGATTTTGAACCAGAAAGACTACCATGAGAAAGTTATGACACTCCTTAGTGACTTAACCACTTATGAACCTCTGAAAAGAGATCCAGGAAGTGGTTACAAGAAGAAGTTAATTGATTGCCTGAAAAATTTGGAGCAGGACAAGGCTCTTGACCGTATTCTGTACCACAGACTGTACCCAGGGGGGGCCACACCTAGTCTGTATGGTTTACCTAAAATTCACAAACAAGGTGTACCTTTAAGACCTATTGTTAGCATGATTAACTCTGTCACTTACAATGTTTCCAAATATCTGGCGTCTGTACTCATCCCTTTAGTTGGCAGCTCAGAACACCACATACAGAACACCATGGACTTTGTGGATAAGGTGAGGGATGTCATCATGGAGACTGATGAAACAATGGTCTCTTTTGATGTCACATCACTCTTTACGTGCATTCCTGTTGATGATGCAGTAGAGGTGGTCAGTTTAAGATTAAAATCAGACACCACTCTGAGCAGCAGGACCACGTTTTCCACAGAACAACTGTGTCAACTCTTGAAACTGTGCCTGCTGTCAACCTACTTCACATATGGGGAGCAATATTATAGGCAGAAACATGGGTGTGCTATGGGGTCTCCAGTTTCTCCTATTGTTGCCAACCTGTACATGGAGGAGGTAGAAAAGAGAGCCTTGATGTCCTTTTCAGGGACACCACCAAGTCATTGGTTCAGGTATGTTGACGACACCTGGGTTAAAATTAAATCTCAGGAAGTCCAACATTTTACTGACCACATCAACTCTGTGGATAAATACATCAAGTTCACACGAG